CTAGGATTAAATGTCAGGAATTGTGAAAAACTGAGTTTAAATGTATTTGGCTAAGGTGTATGTAAACTTCCGACTTCAACTGTATTTACGAAAGAATACATATCGGAGCAGTCAGCATTGTACATCGGGACGCACAACTGCAACGCATTTCAACTTCTAGTCGAAACGCGTTGCAGTTGTGCGTCCTGATGTACAATGCTGACTTCTACTACATCTATTACTTTGTAAATATATTATGTTAATAGTTCACTAAAGTTTTTTGCAACATACTGGCCGCCTACTCGTCTTCTTTCTTAGATTACCTGTCATTTAGGGGGCTACCTTCCCACTGCCCTCATCTCATCTCACCTAACATACTTAATTAAACATTTTTGGAAGGAAAACTATTTCACTCATATTTCTTAGAAATCTGGAAACACTGGACAGTTACTTTAAAGGTCGACTTTGGGCAAAAACACAAAAATATCAGCTTTAAACTGTATAACTGATCAATGTACCATCATACCAGGTCCTTAATGCTTAAAGAGAAAATGGATGAATAAGATATTTGGCTACAAAGTGCCATTTCTTACCGATCTTTACAGCTTCCGTCCAAAAACAAATCCTGTGAAATGACTTAAACACACACTGGAGGAGTTACTGGCTAGCTACAGTGGCTCGCTTAGCTAACAAACTAGCTATGTCGGTCGCGGCGTGCATGACCAGAATGAGAATGACACATCGATGAGCCACCAAAGGCACACCCCGTTTATGTTAGAAAATGGAGAAAGAGGAGTAGGATAATTTTTCGTGCGCAAAGTCGACCATTAAAGCTATTTCCTGCAATTCTACACATTTTGCCATCGCTTATGACGTGTTCATATGCTATCTGGGGGGCCCGTGACCTGTTCTGAATATTGAGGGGGGACATGCCCCACCATCCACCATGACAATTTCGCCTATGGTATGCGGACGCCTTTCAAGGTAGACTCAGCGAAATGATGTTGCCACAAGCAGCACCGCAGATATTGAGATGAGCGAGATGCAAGACTTCGCTCTCACACAGTCACACACAGTATCTGCGCATGCGCACATATTTGATTCATGCTGTTACATCGTTGGAGCCACAGGACCAAAACAGCGGAGAAGTTTACCCTTGCGCTTCACCATTCTTAGTTGTTGCGGAAATTTACCCACTATTCTGTTTACTTTGTGCATCTACTTTACATCGCTGAGTCTACCTTTATCTCCCTTGGGAAAGTTTGTAATGAACTATGATGGCTAGTGTAAAAGATACTCTAAGAAAGGATAAAGTTGGGTTTTTGAGCTCAATTGACTCCCATTCACTCCCAGAATGCACCACGCGGACCATTGACTCACTGGATACCATCCAACTTTGACACCAATTTAGCAAATGGCGGGAGTGAGCAAGCATCACAATGTGGCCATCAGTCATTATTACACAACAGCTCCCCTGTTTATTGACCATTTGCTTTCTTGAACACAACCCTTTCATGACCCTGCTGAGGTAATAGTTGTGAGAGGCTAAAACATTTGCAGGAGGTGGTACATGAGTTCGATTGACAGATGGAGGAAAAGGAAAGGGAAATGAGTTGACTTCCTGGGATTTTGGAAAATACCTTGAGAATTAGTAATGTCCAAATAAAGAACAAAATGAATTTAAAAGCAATGCTAAAATCACGTTTTTCCCTGCCAGTAATATTAGTTCCTTGATCCTTGGAAATTGACTGAAAAGCTCAGACAAAATACAAAAGTGATCACAAGACACATTATGGGCTAATAAGGAAGGCAATTTCAAGTCAGACTAGCCCCTGCCCAGACAGAAACTACAACGCTTGTAGACATGCCAGTCCACTGCATTCCTTGATAGCTCTTCGCCTTCCTTCTGCCACCATTCTTGTAGTAGACAATGAGAGCAATGCCTCTGAAGGATTGTTGAAGTTTGAAAACTTGGGTATGTTACATTTGACTAAGACATTTAATAACACACAAGCTATAATAATCTACTTTGAGAAACTCAATCATCAAAAACATAGTCCAGTTTTGATATTTAAATACAGTATCTTTATTTAAGAATGAGAGTGAAGAGCAGAGAACACATTGTGGGTACACATTTGTGTACACATGCAGTTGTGTAACCCTCAATTACTTTGATTGGAAAGATAAAATAACTACAACATGCTGTATGCAATACCATCAGAGTTTTTGTTCCTTTCAGTTATATGTCAAAGCCAGAGCTCACTGCCTCCCTCTTTGAATTTGGTGAGTTGATCACGTCACTATATGTTCTTGTTTATGCTCTGTCCTGTTTAATTCCTCCAAATTCTAATAATATAGGAGGGAAGAGTCCCCTTGAAAAACAAATAATATTTTTCAATAATAATGTACATATCAAAAATCGAACCATTAACAAAATGGAGTCGTTTTGGCAACACTTGCTAAGCATATATTACATCTTCACATACATTCTAAATACAATGCAAAAGCATCATAGTCTCCTTGATGATCAGCTCAAGGCACAAGCCCTCTCAAACCTTTCTATAACAATCTGTTTCTCCTCCAGCAAAAATATAGCCTGGTCAAGCAGACTGACCGACGCACTCACGTTTAGTTTCTTTTCAATTGTCAAGTGAAACAAAATGTGAGCTATCGCACAATCAGGCTAGTTTCACCAGGCTAGCAAAAGTATCTGTGCTAAAATGATCTGTTTTCCCTCCCAGTGCCCACATTCAAATCTTATGAATTTGACACACATTACACAGGTTAATATGGCTGTTAAGGCACTTGATAGGACTTCACATTCCCAGCTTCAGATATAACTGATCCACGCATTACATTCTCTCTGTTCTGTGTTCCGTTTGAAAGACATGTCAGTCACAGGCCTTCATGCTTTCACTAGTCAATCATGCAGGCCCACACAACAAAAAAATCCCTGTAAGTTATATTATAGCCATCCCAGAAAAATATCAATGTAACTTGGAAAATGTTCCCACTTAAAACATTTTCCCACTCAAAACACATTTGTTAAAACCTCTTAAATATAAAGTCCCCATATTTGGGGACCCTATTTGATTGTTTTTATTCAATTCAGTCAATTCATATAGGTAGCCCCTATATGTAAAAAAGCAGGGTCTGCGGAAAGCCGAGTATCTTGACTATTGATCGGTGCCTTCAAATCTTTGGTGACTTACTAACAAATATGGGCATACGAATTTATAAGGGCAGGCCGAGCCGATGACCTCATTTCAAGATGGCTGCTACCTACATTCCGGTTAGCGTTGTGAAGCATAAAATAAATAAACATGGAATACATTTGATACACACTGAAAGCCGGGACTCCACAGAGCATGGGGATATCTTATTTGTTTGCCTGTGACCTACTCTTATTGATCACCAGCCCGAGAGTCAAAATGTTAATTTTACACAACGTTTTCACCAAACAGCAAACATCTTACAAGGCAAGCTTCGATTTGGTCTGTGTTTGAGCTATAGCTACATGGGGGATATCAAATTAATCCTTAGGTTGGTAGGAACAAATCTAGCCTATTGCCAATGTTATCTGATGATGTATGACTTAATGGCAACATCGAATGTCCACCGAGTGACTAGGTTGAAAAAACACTTTGATATCCCCTGTATGTCCCCTGACACCACCACAATGTTTGAGAGAGGTTGGTGTTGTAGAAATTGTGTTTTTATACTGAACAAATAGCATTTAGGGATTGCAAATATGTAATAGTACTGGAATTATCTAATATACAGACATATGCCACTTTGGAGAGGTTTAGGGACACTTGGAAACGTCCCATGACCACACCTGACACCACTTACTAAAACATCTGCCCATTTCTAGTTGTTAGGTCTATCAATCCCTTTTTTTTTTGGATATTGTTCACATGCTGTGGAAGCCATCTGATGTTTCCAGCTCTAGTCATCAATAACTCACTTATAGCTTGTCAATGAAAGATTACTTTCAAAATAAAAAACAAAAAAACCGTTATTTTGTGTGTGCTTGAGCTTGTGTATTCTGAACTATGTAACTCCTATCTATCTTCTGATCATTTCCTCATAATCTCCCAGATGTCTTCTTTCCAAATATACCAAGCTCAAACTCACTATGTAAACTAGAAAATAGCTCGTAAGGACATTGAAATGGTGCTACTTATTACTATACAACAATAAACGGTAGGACAACAATCAAAATGGGCAAATAAAAGTTTGATATCACTTTCTGTCTAGTGGTTTAGACATTTTCCCAAATAAGTTATTTACTTGTTCAACAAGAGATATCTCTATTTAATGTACTTTGGCAGTGAAGAGTTAAAGTTATTGGGGTTTTGGCATAAAGGACATGAGCCTTTCTAGAGCTAACACTACCTTCTATTGGCCTACCAGAGCTACTTCAAGCAGAAAGCAGTTCACCAAAGGGCTGCACTGACCAATGAACGTAGTAGACTATGACTTTACGGAATCAAAATGTAAGACTAACTTGTAAGAATAACTTGAAACAAAGGACCTCTCACATTGAGGTTGACGTCATTCTGATGATAGAAAGCTGATGACTAATGGATCCCGTTAACAGAGATTAGCTTTAAGGACCAGTGTTTATTAATAATATATATCTTTATTTGGCTGGTGACAGTCGATAAAAACAATATACAAAGAAAAATACTGAATATCCATTTGATACATTTTCGCACTCTTCAAGCCCCCTAATAAAATAATGAATTCCTTTTAACTTTAGAAAGTTCATACTGTACATATTAAGAGTCAACACAGAAACTAATCCATACAAAAAGCATGTTCTGGGTACGTCCTCTCTAGAGTCCTCTTGAGTCCTACTTAGCTTGGTCCCAGATCAGTTTGAGCTCTTGACAACTCCATCATGGTCATTGTCAAGCCAAACATGACACACAAGGAGTTGGCAAGATGGCAGAAACAGACTGGCACCTAGGCTAGGTCCTCTTATGATGCTGGTTCCTCTGATTGCGATGTCTTTCCTATCTGTTGACCAAGGGAGGTCCCCTATCTGTCCCCTGTGTGGAGGTGACGTAGTTAGGGGCGTTGTCGTCCGTCAGGGGGGAGACCCAGGTGTTGCCGTTGGTGGGGTTGCAACAGGTGGAGCTGCAGGTGGGGATACAGGTGGCTGTGAGTCGGCGCAGGTACTCAGCATGGACAGGCTTGTGGCCCTGCAACACCTGGATAGCCTCGTCGATCTTGAACCACTTCCGTTTCCTACCTGAAATAGGTAGCGCAAAGAGAGAGAGAGAGAGAGGTCAGATGAGGGCTGTATTAAAGGCCCAATGCAGCCGTTTTTAACACGATATCAAAACATTTCTGGGTAACAATTAAGTACCTTACTGTGATTTTTTTCAATCAAAATGGTCAAAAACGAACAAAAACTGTTTTTTTTTTTCTTAGGGGGTAGATCAGCTTTAATATTGAAGATATATAACCCTACCACCCCTCCCCTATCTGGAGTAAACTAATGGACAACAACACTTTGGCTTCTACTTCCAGCTTATACATACTATATACATTTTACGAACACAGTATATTTTACAATAGTTATCTTTTGTTTGTTTTTAGTCCCATCCTTCAGCTAACCTCAACCCATCCCATGTATCTTTGAACACCATCCAGTTTTGATTTCTATTTGCCATATATTTTTCAACTGTGCATTTTCATAAAAGTTCTGAACCTATATGCATTTTACGGACACAGTATATTTTACATTACATATCTTGTTATTTTTAGTCCCACCCTTCAGCTCCACTCAACCCCTCCCATCTATCTCTGAACACCATCCAGTTTTGATTTCTATTTGCCATATATTTTTCAAATGTGCTGTGATGTTTCACAAAAGTTATGAACCTTTCTATTCTCATAGTTTCTACAGATTGTAAATTAAAGAAACATTTTTGCTAAGAGTTATTATATTATTGATCGATTGACTATGACTTTTTAAATAACCCAGCAGTGCTATTTGCATAGTTAGCTTCAGGTAAGATGTTGCAATTCTTCAGCCATTCCTAACTAAACCAGTGACCAAAAACAAGCTACATATGAATAGTACCAAAACAAATGATATAATGATTCTGTATCTTCACAGCAAAATCTGCAGAGCTGGGATGGTTGTATCCCCCATGTATACAGTGCATTCGGAAAGTATTTTCAAAATGTTGTTACGTTACAGCCTAAATAAATAAAAAATCCTCATCAATCTACACACAATACTCCATAATGACGAAGCGAAAACAGGTTTTTAGAAATGTTTGCAAATGTATAAAAAAACAAAAACAAAAAACATTTTTTACATAAGTATTCAGACCATTTGCTATGAGAAATTATCTCAGTTGCATCCTGTTTCCATTGATCATCCTTGAGATGTTTCTACAACTTGATTGGAGTCCACCTGTTGTAAATTCAACATGATTTGGAAAGGCACACACCTGTCTATATAAGGTCCCACAGTTGACAGTGCATGAGCAAAAACCAAGCTATGTCAGTAGAGCTCCGAGACAGGATTGTGTCGAGGCACAGATCTGGGGAAGGGTACCACCATTTTTTGTAGCATTGAAAGTCCCCAAGAACACAGTGGCCTCCATCATTCTTAAATGGAAGAAGTTTGGAACCACCAAGACTCTTCCTAGAAATGGCCGTCCGGCCAAACTGAGCAATCGGGGGAGAAGGGCCTTGGTCAGGGAGGTGACCAAGAACCCGATAATCACTCTGTCAGAGCTCCAAAGTTCCTCTGTGGAGATGGGAGAACCTTCCAGGACAACCATCTCTGCAGCACTCCACCAATCAGGCCTTTATGGTAGAGTGGCCAGACGGAAGCCACTCCTCATTAAAAAGGCACATGACAGCCCGCTTGGAGTTTACCAAAAGGCACCTAAAGGACTCACAGACCATGAGAAACAAGGTTCTCTGGTCTGATGAAACCAAGATTGAACTCTTTGGCTTAAATGCCAAGCGCCACGTCTGGAGGAAACCTGGCACCATCCCTACGTTGAAGCATGGGGGTGGCAGCATCAGCCAAGACAACGCAGGAGTGCCTTCGGGACAAGTCTCTGAATGTCCTTGAGTGGCCCAGCCAGAGCCCGGATGTCACGCCCTGGCTCTGGGGACACTGTTATGTTGAGCCAGGGTGTGTAGATCAATGTGTTTTGTTTCTATGGGTGCTATTTCTATGTTGGCCAGAGTGGCTCCCAATCAGAGGCAACGAGTGTCAGGTGTTGCTGGTTGTCTCTGATTGGGAGCCATATTTAAACAGTCTGTTTTTCATTCGTGTTTGTGGGATTTTGTTTCCAGTCGGTTTGTGTTAGACCGTGAACTGTCACGATATCGTTTTGTTGTTTTGGTCGTTTGACGCTAAATAAAGAGTATGTTTGCCTGCAACGCTGCGCCTTGGTCCTCATCTGTTCCTGACGATCGTGACAGAAAATCCCACCACAACTGGACCAAGCAGCGAGTCGAGGAGCCATCGCCAGGGAAATCCCTAGCAGATCTCCGTGGCAGCCTCGACTGGGTCAAGCCGAGTGAAGAGCAGAGAGAGTGGACTTGGGAACAATGGAGGAAGAGCTTCGACTGGGTCAAGCCAATTGAGGAGCTGAATAGCGGGAGTTGGAGGCAGAAGAGCGAGAGTTGGGCGAGAACTATAGAGGCCTGGCCCACGGGGAGGAGAGACCCCCAGAAAATTTTTAGGGGGGGGGGGGGGCTCACGACGTCGGGGCAGCAGGAGGCCGCGATAGAGCGGTCCAGCGGGTTGGCAGAGGAGGCCGCCAGGTTACGGGGGCCACTGGTAGAAGAGGGGATGGAAGGTGTAGAGGCACGGCGAGAGGTACTGGGGTGTGTTACCAGTCCGGTCCGGCCCGTTCCAGATCCCGGTGTAGGACCAGTGGTGTGTGTCCCCAGTACGGTCCGGTCTGTTCCTGCTCCCCGCACCAAGTCAGTGGTGCGCTTCGTCAGCCCGGCTCGGCCCGTTCCTGCTCCCCGCACCAAGTCAGTGGTGCGCTTCGTCAGCCCGGCTCGGCCCGTTCCTGCTCCCCGCACCAAGTCAGTGGTGCGCTTCGTCAGCCCGGCTCGGCCCGTTCCTGCTCCCCGCACCAAGTCAGTGGTGCGCTTCGTCAGCCCGGCTCGGCCCGTTCCTGCTCCCCGCACCAAGTCAGTGGTGCGCTTCGTCAGCCCGGCTCGGCCCGTTCCTGCTCCCCGCACCAAGTCAGTGGTGCGTTTCGTCAGCCCGGTTCGGCTCACTCCTGCTCCTCACACCAAGCCAGTGGTGTGCGTTGTCAGTCCAGCACGGCCCGTGCCTGTTCTCCACACCAAGCCAGTGGTGGGCGTCGTCAGTCCGGCACGGCCCGTGCCTGTTCCACTGGTGCCTGGTTCGGCACTGGTCAGATCTTTTACGCCGGAGCTAGAGCAATCCGCTCCATCAGTGTGCAGTCCAGCTCCGGCCAGCGGGGCCAGACCGGACCAGGGGTACTTTGGGGGGTTGGAGAGGGAGCGGGGATCAGGCCCGGAGCCGGATCCGCCGCCTAGGCGGAGTGCCCACCCGGTCCCTCCCCTGTGGTATTTGGTTGACGCGGTCGGAGTCCGCGCCTTTAGGGGGGTACTGTCACGCCCCTGGCTCTGGGGGACACTGTTATGTTGAGCCAGGGTGTGTAGATCAATGTGTTTTGTTTCTATTGGTGCTATTTCTATGTTGGCCAGAGTGGCTCCCAATCAGAGGCAACGAGTGTCAGGTGTTGCTGGTTGTCTCTGATTGGGAGCCATATTTAAACAGTCTGTTTTTCATTCGTGTTTGTGGGATTTGTTTCCAGTCGGTTTGTGTTAGACCGTGAACTGTCACGATATCGTTTTGTTGTTTTGGTCGTTTGACGCTAAATAAAGAGTATGTTTGCCTGCAACGCTGCGCCTTGGTCCTCATCTGTTCCTGACGATCGTGACACCGGACTTGAACCCGATCGAACATCTCTGGAGAGACCTGAAAATAGCTGTGAAGCGACGCTCCCCATCCAACCTGACAGAGCTTGAGAGGATCTGCAGAGAAGAATTTGAGAAACTCCCCAAATACAGGTGTGCCAAACTTGTAGTGTCATACCCAAGAAGACTCAAGGCTGTAATCGCTGTCAAAGGTGCTTCAACAAAGTACTGAGTAAAGGGTCTTAATACTTATGTAAATAAATAAAAATATATACATTTGCAAAGATTTCTCAAACCTGTTTTTGCTTTGTCATTATGGGGTATTGTGTGTTGATTGATGAGGGGGGAAAAAAACTATTTAATCCAATTTAGAATAAGGCTATAACGTAACAAAATGTGGAAAAAGTCAAGGGGTCTGAATACTTTCTGAATGCACTGTATGTGCTTCTTGTTGGACTTCCCAATACGAACATTCATTTGAAAACAGTGGCTAAACCGCTGTACTCCTTTACACATTTTCCCCACTCCTTCACACCAACCAGCTCTGAAAGAAATGTACAGCAACACTGCTGAATGTTGAGAACTTGACCTATAGTAGGATTGGACATTTCTGTCATTCCTCCAGTGGTGTTTATGAAGCTGTCACATCTGCTTTTAACCAAAGCCTCTGTATAAAGAGTTCCCATAAAAACCAGTTAACCATCAGTTTACCTTATTTATACATCTCTTCAAAACCACTTTCTCCTGCCCTCCAATTTCTAGACATATATTATCATTCAAGTATTTTGCAAAAGGCCCTCCAAAGTGCCCTCTGACATTAAAATGGGATACTGAAGGGGATAAGTGGATGGAGGGGGGGGTATACACTGACCCCTCAGGTACTCCACAGGCACTAGCCCTGGAGGAGAAGGTGAGTGTAACTTGTAAGACCACAAATGTAGAGCCCGATTGGGCACAATCACAGGCCTTGTATGGCGCAAAAGAGGACAGAGGGAGGGGGCCACAGCACAGTGAGTGACGATGACTGGAAAACAACTGTGTACAGCAAATATGCATGGACCTTGTGAACAGGCCTGAATTCTATTTATGGGTGAAAGATTTTCACAATTTTTTTTTAGACAGGCTACAAATGGTTCACGTTTTGAGTTACAGGGTCCCTTGTCAAGTGCTTTATTTGAAACACTGGGCAATTCCACGCCAGCGGGAGCACATTTTTTGGATTTCAGATTGTTCTGCCAATTCTCACATAGAAACTTAATAGAGAGGAAGCATGTTTGACATACTTTTTACATTTATATCACAAACCATAAAAAAATAAAAATCATGATTAAAGTGGCCATTCTGGGCCCTTTTTAGACCTATACATGCCTTCTGAAAGATCTTATGATCAGTGAACCGTACATGATACAGACAACATATTGGTGTCATTATACTCCTCATAGTGTGCTCTAACATATGGAGTATGTCTAGATTCTGAAATACAACTTTTATTCAACATAACAAATATTAATATGAATATGAGCTTATTTTTAGACATATTGTTTGGAACATTATACTCTTCAAACACATCAAATTCCCACAATGGTCTCTGGTATTTTTAATGATATGATCCATTTTATACATAGAAATTGACGTTACAGCTCATTACCCATCACAGACCTCCTTTAGGATTGCATATTCAGCAAATCACCAGCAGAGGGAGTTACCTTTGAATCCATTTCCCATTCACTGTGTTGGTGGTGCTCATTACGTTTATCAGAACTTCAGAATGAACAGAGCCCACTCTGGGAATTTGATGTACTTGTAGATTATATTTTTCCAAACAATGAACAAAATCAAAAAGGGTAGTTTTGAGATATTCATATTAATATTTTAAATGTGAAAAAAAATAAAAATCAGAATCTAGACATACTCCATATGTTAGAGCACACTATAAGGAGTATAATGACACCAATATTTTGTCTGTATCATGTCCCGTTGGTGTGGAATCGCCCCACTGGCTACTGCATCCTAAACAAATTATGGTGATCGTTTTTGGGATGTAGTCCATTACTTAACAATTACAGTGCTGTATAGAATGTGTCTAGTTAGTGTGGTGTTTTCTGCTGTACAATATTTACTTGACAGTAATTTGCACAGATACCACATAGTTACAGAACATGGAAAATGTCTTCATGTAAATATTACACATATACAATAAATATACAAGTAACTTATTCAAAACACAATTCAGCCAGTTTCATCTCATTATAATTTGATAAACAATTTTATTTACCTCATATAGATATACAAACTAAGTGTCAAAACATAAGTGGACATTAAATACTGTATTTTCAAACCATTCTTCAAATGTTATTTTGAATTCCAGCTAGACGCTAACATTACTGAAGTTCAACAGGTGTTTGACAACTATTACTGTAGACATGTACAGACATGGACGTGTCCCTCTGGGCCAGTATCCTAAGTGACAACAGAGACCCTCTGTCAGTCTGTTTGTCTAAATTCCTCTCTCAGGTTTTACAAGAGGTCTCCTGCCAACTGAACTGAAGTCAGCCTCTATATGAAGGTGCCCTATCGTCGTAACATGAAAGTGTTCAATTTCTTTAACCTATTAACCTTGTACCTATTTAATAAATCCATTGTAATTTTACTAATCTAAAGAATTCCTTTTTAGATACAACATGAGTACTATGCATAAACCCCTCCAAAGAGCAACTCCAACTTACACACTCCAAGCAGTATTCGTGCGTTCGCCTTTTAATGATATTAATTACCTACTGGAATTGACTTTAAAGCACTCTATCAATAGAATTAGCAAATATTATCTATGATGATTTTCGGTAAGTACCCAGGAGGCAAACTAACAGTCCTCAAACCTAATTTCACGGCCCTGACTGCTTAGGAGATCAAAACCCTTTTGTTTCGTGAGGCACAAGTGTGTTTGTGTGTTGCAATGTTTTGATGTCAACATCACAGACTGGGAGAGAGAAAGGGCCAGGGTCCTGGGTGTGAGAGAAACAGGGGTGCGGGGGTGAAGAAAGTTGTAGTGTTGTAAGAAAAGATTGTTTGTCTAAATATCTCAAAAAAAGTTCCCCGTTTCCCACCAATTGTGTCGGAGAGGAAAGGCTTAGACGAAAGACGTGCATAAAGGTCTAAAGAGATGTGGGAAAATAACCAGATCCCTAACCAGATGTCTTCATACAGTAGAAGCTTACCGATGTTGACAGAATCCTCCCAGTCCTCCAAGGTCTCTGTCACAGTCAGGACATAGACGTACGTCCTGTGTTTCCTGTCCTGGTTGTGCTACAGGACAGACAAACAGACAGACTGCTTCAAATCATAATAATACCCTTTCACTCCTGTAAGTGTTTCTGTATTGCATGCAGGGCTTTTAAGTGTTGTGTGGAATTCAAACTTTTTCAGCGGGGACCCCATTGTTTTGCCAGAATTCCTGGCAACCCCACTCCAGCCCAAATCTAATGACACAACCCTAAAATCGGTACATTTTGATTTTTGCATCAACAAATAACCTTTGATTCATTACATTTTCTCTCTCTCTTATTAAAAAGAACCAAAATACATTTACTCAATAAAATAAATGTCCTCAATAATCTGTACTCTTTTTGTCTTTTGACCCCCCCAAATTGAAAAATTATTATGTGGCGACCCCACTACACTTACCCCACGGGGTCGCAACCCCGACTTTGAATACCACTGGTGTAAGGTTAAGGAATTGGGCTTAATAATAATGTTGCAATGTTTTGATATGATGTGATAATGCATTATGATATACAGTGCTATGCTACAGTGTGCTATGACATGATGGTTTGTGAGGCTTACCTCGAAAACCCCCAGTAACCTGCCAAGCTTTCCCTTTACACCAGCCTGGACAGTGACACAGACATCCAAATAACAACAAAGGACAGTCAGCTAGTGTATAAACACCAGTATAACACCAATACATTCCCACATCCTACATTATCCATAAGACAGAATCACTTTTAAAAGTTACGTTACAGCTGATATGGACTATCATGTAGTGCACAGAGAGCTGTACTATACTGTTAATGACCCTCAGCAGGACAATTCATTTCAGAAAACCGAATCAAATTCTACTAAATGTAAGTGTAGTATATGGGGTGCTGAGAAACTCCCTCCTCAGCCTGAAGTGTCCCCACTTGCGCTGCCGAATAGCTAGTTTTTCGGTGGCATGACTGGGTAAGACCTTTTAGGAGATGTTCACGTGCTTACGAGGCTGAGGTCCTGAGTTCAAGTCTCGGTATGAGCTGAATCAGGGGGAAGCGGTACTCGCTGAGCAAGCAGTGTGACGTCCCTTAAAATGGTGCCATGACCCATATTTGCAGTTGCGCTCAGCTCAACGCTGGGGTCGCTGTGGAGTGAGTTTCGGGGGTGAATGTAGCAGATGGGGGGGATCTGTGAAACTCACTCCACAGCCTGAAGTGTCCCCACTTCTGCTACAGAATAGCTAGCTTTTCTGTGGTGTCGACTGGGTAAGACGCTTCAGGAGGGCGGTCACGTGTGTTTGCGAGGCAGATATCCTGGGTTCGAGCCTCGGTAAGAGCTGAATCAGGGGAAAGTGGTACTCACTAAGCAAGCAGTGTGACGTCCTTTACAAAAACAAATACATGTCTTTAGGATAAATTACTCTATCACAGATTATAACAACTAAAAAAGAATCCATATACCATGATATTCACAAGCAAGGAATGTGCTTGTTTGGTAAGGCACATATGTTTTTCCCCAACCAATGATGACAGGTTTGACAGTAACCTACCCTCACCCCCTGCAAAAGCCGGAAGGGAACATCGACTGACTGTGGGATATTTTCATGCCGAGACGGAATTCCGGCAGAACAACGTGACTAGCCAAAGGGAAGCGTGTCTCTGCTCCCATATCACTCAGTCTCAGCATCGCCCATGAAAAGGACTGCATGTTAACTCTCTGTTCTGGTTTTGGCCCATCTCAAGAGAGGATCCCCAGGAGGACCTATGCCATCCTAGCATGCCACATAGACTGACGCACACAGCAGTTTGGTCCGGAAAATAACAACACGTCCAAGATCACAGGCTAATGATCATAGCCATAATGTTAGCCTGGTTCCAGATCTGTTGGTGCTGTCTTGCCAACTCCATTGCTGTCATTGTCAATCGTCACGCCAAACAGAGATGTAGTAGAGGGTAGACGCACGTAAAACGGCATTTAGGATTTTATTTTATTTTGCACAAGCGTTTACCCACCTTTTGCAGAAAGATTAATTGAAAGTATAGAGAGCTTTACTTTACTCACCGCAAACGGCGATCAGCGTTTACCCACCTTTTTTTTTTAGCACAACATCACTGATGCCAAACAGTGACACGTTAGTGAGGGAGTTGGCAAGACAACACAAACAGATTGGTGACCAGGCTAATATAAAGGCCTAATGTCACACAAAACATTTGTGAAAGAAAGCGATTAAATGAAATGGCTGATAACAAACATTATGGAGGTGGGTGACATTTAGCCATGGAGCAAGTTCAAAACTCATCATACTGTCCATGAGAATATCATACGGTCCACTAAGATATAACGGATTGTGATGTATGCATGAGAAAAAATATTAAAAGATTCTTGTGACCCGGCCGCTGACTGTTTTGGGAGACTGGCAAACTGGCAGCAATTCAGGACTGGAGCCCATTGCTCTGGTCACATGATCCTGGGGAAGAGCCATAATTCAGGTTTAGGTTCCTGCACCCCTCCCGGGTCCCACTGGCTGGGGGCTGGCTGGGGCCAGGTTACCAGGACCACAGGCTCATATGACACAGGCCTCTACCAGCACACTTCAGCTCTATGATAGGATAATTCCAATATGTTTTGGGGGGATTGTAAAATATTTTTGTAATTTAATAAAATTAAGTAAACTGCCCATTGTTGAAATACAAAGATAATACTTGAGGGTAAAAAACAAATCCAACTTTTTGACAAACATGGGCTCAACAGGGTTCAATGTCTTACATTTGAACTTGTTATCGTACATATATATTTAGCCACCAAGTGGGTATACATGATAAAACTGAATTATGTTATAATCATAAGATCTAAAAAATGTGACACTCAAGCGCAAATTAAACCTCCATTAAACTTCCATTATGACTTTCTTTGGAGTGGATGTGTTGAATTTTACAGAAGAGTGGATGGACAATTTGAGTTATTAGCCTCCAACAGCCTGTGTTGCTGTGGAACTCATTTAACTCTATTCAGGGTCATGTCTCTCTCAGGACGAGGAGGACGTGGGTAAATGGACACTGTCTCTAAATGTCACCGCTCCATTCCTCACAGCTGTCAACACATGACTCCCTGGGGCAGAGCATGGCAGAACACACACAGAGTCCGTGAACAAGTACTGTCACTCTTTTCACTTAACCACTTAACCATTAGCTCAACTGGCTGTCTGTGCAGTGTATACCATCCTCAATCTAGAACATTTAGAACCGAGGTCTCCCCTTCAAGTGCTACTCATTTATCTAGGAAACTGTTCCTCTAACTTGGTGCATTGCAGATAGATGATTAGGATAACAAAATGTATATGGGTGGGCTCACCTCTTCATACACCTCTCTGACTGCAGCTCCACACGGCTCCTCCTCAGGCTCCATCCCTCCTCCTGGGACGATCCACTGGTCTGGGTGCCGACTGCTGCTCACCAGCAACACCTGCAAAGGCCAAAGACTATTTGATGATACTCAAATAGTAGGCCACATCTGGCCCACAAGCCTCTAGTTTCTGGCCAGTGGGAGTTACCTAACTACACTACCTCAAAGTCCAACAAAGGTGCATGAATTGAGGGATAAACTGGATGTGTGGGAGTCTAAACCTATACCTTACTAGCTCTGACTTTGCTGATAGCTACTTTGAGAAATGTTTTACTTACTATGACTGTGATATGTGGTTGTCCCACCTAGCTATCTTAAGATGAATGCACTAACTGTAAGTCGCTCTGGATGAGAGCATCTGCTAAAGAACTAAAATGTAAAAAATGTAGAATGATTTTCATTTGAGGAAAACAATGGATATAAAATGCATCTTTATATCATATATTAACCAACACATTGATCAGCAGTACAGCCTTCATCTGGGTATCTGACCATTGACATATACAGTTTGTCGTATAGTATATCTGACACCAGAAGCAGTACCTTCCAGGGTGAGGGGGGTCCATGATGGGCAAAGCTGCCAGCGGCAGAAACCCCAGTTCAGCTCCGTGCCAATCACATGCCCACCCATGCCCAGGTCTATAACCATGGCATTTAACAACAGGTGGCTTAGAGTCAGATGGCAGCAGGGTACAGGTAAGGGGATCTACCCACAGTGTCTGGATCCCACATTAATATATTTTTGAGAAATTAAGACATACAGTGCATTCGGAAAGTTTTCAGACCCCTTGACTTTTTCCACATTTTGTTACGTTACTGCCATATTCAAAAACAAAATATCATCAATCTACACACAATACCCCGTAATGACAAAGCAAAAACAGGTTTTTAGAAATGTTTGCAAATGTATTAAAAATAAAAAACAGAAATACGTTATTTACATAAGTATTCAGACCCTTTGCTATGAGACTCGAAATTGAGCTCAAGTGCATCCTGTTTCCATTGATCATCCTTGAGCTGTTTCTGATGATTTGGAAAGGCACCACCTGTCTATATAAGGTCCCACAATTGACAGTGCATGTCAGAGCAAAAACCAAGCCATGAGCCATGGCATCTTTTCACTCCCTCCTCTCTACATATTCTTCCTCTGTTTCTGCTGCTAAAGTCACTTTCTACCACTCTAAATTCCAAGCATCTGCCTCTAACCCTAGGAAGCTCTTTGCCACCTTCTCCTCCCTGCTGAATCCCCCCCCCCCCCTCCTCCTCCCTCTCTGTGGATGACTTCGTCAACCATTTTGTAAAGAAGGTTGACGACATCCGATCCTCGTTTGTTAAGTCAAATGACACTGCTGGTCCTGCTCACACTGCCCTACCCTATGCTTTGACTTCTTTCTCCCCTCTCTCTCCAGATGAAATCTTGCGACTTGTGACGGCCGGCCGCCCAACAACCTGCCAGCTTGACCCTATCCCCTCCTCTCTTCTCCAGACCATCTCCAGTGACCTTCTCCCTTACCTCACCTCGCTCATCAACTCATCCTTGACCGCTGGCTATGTCCCTTCCGTCTTCAAGAGAGCGAGAGTTGCACCCCTTCTCAAAAAACCTACACTCGATCCCTCTGATGTCAACAACTACAGACCAGTATCCCTTCTTTCTTTTCTCTCCAAAACTCTTGAGCGTGCCGTCTTTAGCCAACTCTCTTGCTATCTCTCTCAGAATGACCTTCTTGATCCAAAACAGGCAGGTTTCGAGACTGGTCATTCAACTGAGACTGCTCTTCTCTGTGTCACGGAGGCTCTCCGCACTGCTAAAGCTAACTCTCTCTCCTCTGCTCTTGTCCTTCTAGACCTGTCTGCTGCCTTTGATACTGTGAACCATCAGATCCTCCTCTCCACCCTCTCCGAGTTGGGCATCTCCGGCGCGGCTCACTCTTGGATTGCGTCCTACCTGACCGGTCGCCGCTCCTACCAAGTGGCGTGGCGAGAATCTGTCTCCGCACCACGTGCTCTCACCACTCGTGTCCCCCAGGGCTCAGTTCTAGGCCCTCTCCTATTCTCGCTATACACCAAGTCACTTGGCTCTGTCATATCCTCACATGGCCTCTCCTATCATTGCTACGCAGACGACACACAACTAATCTTCTCCTTTCCCCCTTCTGATAACCAGGTGGCGAATCGCATCTCTGCATGTCTGGCAGACATATCAGTGTGGATGACGGATCACCACCTCAAGCTGAACCTCGGCAAGACGGAGCTGCTCTTCCTCCCGGGGAAGGACTGCCCGTTCCATGATCTCGCCATCACGGTTGACAACTCCGTTGTGTCCTCCTCCCAGAGTGCGAAGAGCCTTGGCGTGACCCTGGACAACACCCTGTCGTTCTCCGCTAACATCAAGGCGGTGACCCGATCCTGTAGGTTCATGCTCTACAACATTCGGAGAGTACGACCCTGCCTTACACAGGAAGCGGCACAGGTCCTAATCCAGGCACTTGTCATCTCCCGTCTGGATTACTGCAACTCGCTGTTGGCTGGGCTCCCTGCCTGTGCCATTAAACCCCTACAACTCATCCAGAATGCCGCAGCACGTCTGGTGTTCAACCTTCCCAAGTTCTCTCACGTTACCCCGCTCCTCCGCACACTCCACTGGCTTCCAGTTGAAGCTCGCATCTGCTACAAGACCATGGTGCTTGCCTACAGAGCTGTGAGGGGAACGGCACCTCCGTACCTTCAGGCTCTGATCAGTCCCTACACCCAAACGAGGGCATTGCGTTCATCCACCTCTGGCCTGCTGGCCCCCCTACCTCTGCGGAAGCACAGTTCCCGCTCAGCCCAGTCAAAACTGTTCGCTGCTCTGGCACCCCAATGGTGGAACAAGCTCCCTCACGACGCCAGGACAGCGGAGTCACTCACCACCTTCCGGAGACACTTGAAACCCCACCTCTTTAAGGAATACCTGGGATAGGATAAAGTAATCCTTCTACCCCCCCTTACCCCACCCCAAAGAAAGAAGAAGAAAAAAACATATTGTAAAGTGGTTATCCCACTAGCTATTAGGTGAATGCACCAATTTGTAAGTCGCTCTGGATAAGAGCGTCTGCTAAATGACGTAAATGTAAATGTAATGAGGTCGAAGGAATTGTCCGTAGATCTCAGAGACAGGATTGTGTCGAGGCATATATCTGGGGAAGGGTACCAAATAAATTCTGCAGCATTGAAGGTCCCCAAGAACACAGTGGCATCCATCATTCTTAAATGGAAGAAGTTTGGAACAACCAAGACTCTTCCTAGAGCTGGCCGCCTGGCCAAACTGAGCAATCGGGGGAGAAGGAGGGGGAGCAAGAACCCGATGGTCACTCTGACAGAACTTCTGAGTTCCTCTGTGGAGATGGGAGAAACTTCCAGAAGGACAACCATCTCTGCAGCACTCCACCATTCAGGCCTTTATGGTAGGGTGGCCAGACGGAAGCCACTCCTCAGTAAAAGGCACATGACAGCCCGCTTGGAGTTTGCCAAAAGGCACCTAAAGACTCTCAGACCATGAGAAACAAGATTCTCTGGTCTGATGAAACCAAGATTGAACTCTTTGGCCTGAATGCCAAGCGTCACATCTGGAGGAAACCTCGCACCATCCCTACGGTGAAGCATGATGGTGGCAGCATCATGCTGTTGGGATGTTTTTCAGCGGCAGGGACTGGGAGACTATTCAGGATCGAGGGAAATATGAACGGAGCAAAGTACAGAGAGATCCTTGATGAAAACCTGCTCCAGAGCGCTCAGGACCTCAGACTGGGGCGAAGGTTCACCTTCCAACAGGACAACGACCTTAAGTACACAGCCAAACAAATGGAAAATGGGTCTTAGAAAACATCTACCAGAAAAATTCTGAGTATACAAAACATTAAGGACACCTGCTCTTTCCATGACATAGACTGACCAGGTGACTGCAGGTGAAAGCTATGATCCCTTATAGATGTCACTTTTTAAATTCACTTCAATCAGTGTAGGGGGAGGAGACAAGTTAAAGGATTTTTAAGCCTTGAGACAATTGAGACATGGATTGTGTATGTGTGCCATTCAGAAGGTGAATGGGCAAGACAAAATATTTAAGTGCCTTTTTTACAGGGTATGGTAGTAGGTGCCAGGCGCACCGGTTTGTGTCAAGAACTGCAACGCTGCTGGGTTTTTAAGTTTCCCGTGTGTATCATGAATGGTCCACCACCCAAAGGACATCCAGCCAACTTGACACAACTGTGGGAAGCATTGGAATCGACATGGGCCAGCATCCCCGTGGAACGCTTTCGAGTCCATTCCCAGACGAATTGAGGCTGTTCTGAGGGCAAAAGGCAGTGGTGCAACTCAATATTAGGAAGGTGTTCCTAATGTTTGGTATACTCAGTCTACATCAAAACACAATTATGTTGAAGTAAAGACCTCTGCCAACTAATATCAGCCCTTATATTTAGTTTTGGAGAAATTGTTCTGGCTTCTGTAAGTTTAAGAAACATTGCCTTGTGCCTTAAAATTCCATTCCCAAAAACCCACATATCCTTAAGATATTTTCGAATTTCTCTCCCTCATGAGGGAGGATAATGAAAGTTCACAGAAGTAACAAGTAAAAGTAGGCCTATCAATTAGTTCGTGTCAGTTCAGTAAAGAAAAGTAGAGTATAGTTAAGTACAGTACCATAGAGTTCAGTACACAGTAGAACACACTAGAGTTGAGTGCACTATAATGTACTGTATTTTATTGTACTGTACTGAACTATACTCTACTGTGTTGTACTGTACTCTACTGAGCTCTACTGTGTTGTACTTTGATGTCCAATCTGTGAAACATAGACATGTATGATTGGTTCAGATTTGGTCCGGTCTGGACAAACCAAATTTGGTCTTGTTTGGGGGCAGATCCCATTTAAATAAATAAATAAATATGTTTTATTGTCACATACACCGGATAAGTGCAGTGAAATATGTTGATTTACAGGGTCAGCCATAGTAGTACGGCGCCCCTGGAGCAAATGAGGGTTAAGTGCCTTGCTCAAAGGCTCAAATAATAGCCAGTGTGTAGAATAAGAAGCAAATATGCAAAGGTGGTTTTGCATATTTATAACTTTGTGTACCTATTTAGGATACATCACCATGAAGATAATGACATTCATATCCATAATTATGCCTTTGTGTAGTCCAGATCAGGGATCCATGATGAAATTCCATTACCGGATGTAAATCCACTTCACTTACTGTAGCTCAATAACCAAAATCGATTTTTTCAAATTCAATGTGTCATGTCATAGCTGACACCCCATTCATCCTGCAGACATCGTTAGATTTTAATTTAGATATTTAAAAGAGTTTTGGGAAAACGTGGACACAAAAAACTGAAGGAGATTTTACCGAAATTCTGTTACCGAACTTTGCATCTGCACAGTTCTTCCAGTAAATGTGTTTTTGTAAAATGTTCAATTGTTAAAAGTAGGCCTTGTGCATTGAGTTGCATGGTTTGAAAAAACGTTGAAATCAATGGTTTTTGTTTAGCATACATTTAAAGAGACAAAAATCTCAGTGCAATTCCGTTACTGTGGAATTGCCTTATATAGAATAACCTGCAATCTCAGAAATACTAGGTGTTATCGGGCGACCAAAATAGACCCAG